GGGGTGAGGGGCTAGGGGCTACTTGGCCTGGGGTGAGGGGCTAGGGGCTACCTGGCCTGGGGGTGAGGGGCTGGGGGAGAATAAATGAAACCCCCTGCCCTTGAGCAGCGGTCTGTAATCTGAGCTCATCTTTGTTCTGCTCATACTTTAATGTGAGCCCCAATCATTGGGGTTTAGTTAAGGTGCCAACTAATTCAGCAACTCTTGGGTGGGGCCCAAGATTCTGCATTTCAAGCTTCCAGGTGAGGCTGCTGCTGTTCACTGCCCACCAGCGTGGCTGGTAACTTGGGCATCTGTTGTTTAAGATTCACTGTCAGCCACTCCCAGTTGACCCTGAAGATCTCTGATATGTAGGGACTCCTCCCTCATTAATTACATTTTGCTGTAGCATAAGTTTACCGTTCAGCGGAGACACAGGTGAACGCTGTCTCTTAACTAGAGGATGAACCCAGCTCCTCCTCACAGGCTGTGTTGTCTCTGCTCATCCACCCATCCCCCCGGCCTCTGTGTGACGGGCGGAGCGTGTGGTGCAGCGGGAGCTGCTGGTCTCTGAGACTTTGGGTGAAAACTGACTGGTTCTTACAGGAGCCTCAGGACACGTGGGGGCATGTGATCAGGCAAACCCGGACATGTGCCCAGAGAGCAGACGAGGGCAGATCTCAGAAGCAGGCACTAAAGGGAGGTCTGGATGGATTTGGGGAGTTGGGGCCAAACGCAAGTCAGGGCAGGGCCTTTCAAAAGTCAACAGACTTCTTAACCATTGTCTTAAAAAAAAAAAACCCAATATATATATATATATATATGAATGACAGGGAGAGAGGGAGAAACATCAATGATGAGAGAGCATCATTGATCAGCTGCCTCCTGCACACCCCACGCTGGGGATCGAACCCACAACCCGGGCCCTGACTGGGAACCGAGCCATGACTTGGTTCATAGGTCAATGCTCAACTGAGCCACGCCAACCGGCCCATTCTCTTTTGCGGGCCCTGATGTATTGGCAGTAAAGTGCTCTGACTGTACATGCAATCTGGTAAACCACAAAAGTCTAAATCTGGAACTTGTCACAAACATCCTGCCTGAGCCGAACGGTCTCCCCGGGCCCCCTGAGAGGCCCTCTACTGAAGCTCACTCCTGGGGATGGTGAGGGAAAAGGCAAAGCCTGCTCTTGGGTGAACTTGGCGGGGAGGTTAAGAAAAGGCCTGGGACTGAAACGGGCAGCTGGCAAGGGCTTGGCTTCAGAACAAGGCAGGAGCCCAGGTTGATCAGTTGGAAGGATGACTCGCAGCTGAGTCAGTGAGCCGGGCCAGGCTCTCAGCCCCGCTGACTGAGCCCAGCTGGGGCGACAGATGGTGGAGAGGCCTCAGCCATAGCGGGTGGGGATTGGGATCATCAACAACGAGCCGTTGGAGACTATTTCCAGAGCCTGCTTCCCAGCCTTGCATAACCTAGAGTTCAAATCTTCCCTGCGGGGCCTCGTGCAGCCTGTCCACACCTCCGCCTGCAGCCCTAGCTCTTCCTCTCCCCCATCTGCCTTCCCGGCCAGGCTGCCGCCTGCAGAGAGCCCAGCACAGGAGCAGCTAGAAAAGGCCTCAGTGGGCGGCCAGACGCCCCTTTCTTTGCAGTTCTGGCCCCACAGCTGGCCTGACACAAAACCTGCCACATTCCTGACCAGAAACGGAGGGTTGAGGTCGAGGGGCCAGGTGAGATGGTGAGTGTCTGGTGTTCGGTCACATGCTCTAATGCAGGGGTCCTCAAAAACTTTTTAAACGGGGCTAGTTCACTGTCCCTCAGACCGTTGGAGGGCCAGACTATAGTTTAAAAAAAAACTATGAACAAATTCAGCAAACAGGCAGCGGCTGCAAGAACACCCGGTGGGCCGGATAAATGTTTTCGGCGGGCCGCATGTGGCCCGCGGGCCGTAGTTTGAAGACCCCTGCTCTAATGCCTAGGAGAGTGGCCTCAGGCCAGTCCCTGCCTCATAGACATGGTGCTTCTGAAGGGCCAGGCTCTGTTCCAAGTGCTTTATGATGAACTCAGCCCTCAGAGCTGGGTAAATGCCCTATCCATTCCCACTTTATTGGCCAGGGAACAGGAATAGG